GCAGCATGCAACTTGAATGGTGTTAGGCGATTGGTATTTGTTCAAACATTATGAAAACAACGAAACATTTTTGTTAATCAGTTCCTTCAGAAAGAGTGTAAATAAAGTGGTGCTCTTTATTTATTCTGCTTTTTTATTGTACCTTAGAAGAAACCAGAATAATTATCGGGTTATTGAAGATGACATTGTGTTTTTTGTCTTCTAGAAATGTAGTCAATGGTATCATCAGTTGTCTTGTGGTACGAAGAAATAGGAAGGTAGAATACGAAGGGAAAAAGTAGAGCTCGACATTTACACAGTCGCGAAGCTGACGATAATTTTTCGCTGATTGTCAAACGCCTACGAGTTGCTTTCGCCTTTGGGTGAGCCCAAGATTCTCTGACAATTTCATTTCGGAAATCGACTATGGCGAGGCTTGTTTCATGCGCTCAGATAGTTTGTACTTGTTGCTTCGCCTGCCATTCCGAAGATTGATCACGTTATTTGTGCCAAAACCTCGGAGATTTGGCAGGCTACAAGGACTATATCCATAGGCTGCGAATGACTGTAAGTATTATGCACATGTCAGTTAGTTCAGCGTATTGAAGGCACGTTACTTTTAACATCCACCAGCATTACTTCATCCATCTTGTGATAACTGTTGACAGTAGGTGGCTGCAATCCAACAATGAATTCTGATCTAGCGTTTTAATTTCTGACGAGGTGATGCGATAAATGTTCGATTCCCCGAGTTTATATCTGGAAGAGTCAACAAATGATGGGTTAAATTCTCTGCCGCTTTCGCATGCAGTTTCAGTGAAATTTGTCAAACAAGTGCGCGAACATCTATATAGCATTTAGAAGTTTGCAAATCAAAGAAGTTATTCTGAACTAGTGCTCTAATTTGTGACGAGATGAGACGATGAGATTTCGATTCCTGAGTAAGTTTATTAGAGGGTTAAAAATGATGAGTCGACCGCCATGCCACTTTCGCATGCTGTGTCCGGGAAATTGACTAATCAATGGATTAAGCATCTAACAACTGCTTGTAAATCATGTGACCTAACCTCGGAAATCCACTCATTTTACTTAAATTGTTATATATACTGGACACACTTAAATGCACTTCAATTATCATTAAGGGGGGAATAGACAAACGCCTTTGAGCTCACTAGTAGTGAAATTAAATAAACGAATCTGTACGTCAGAACAGTTTCTCGGGAATAGTACTCACTTTATTGGCGATTCCATATTGCACCAGACAGTAGGTGAAGCAAAAGCACAAAAAGCAGACAGTGAAAAGAACTCATTGAACATTTTTAGTAAACAATGGAAGTTTGAATGAAACTTCGCGCAGCGTAGGACAACCCTGCCGGTAGGAATACGTGACATAAGATAGGATAGCCTATTCCGGCCTTTGTCGATAAAACAAGGATAACAGCAAGGAAGGAGTCGTAGAGCTCATAGGATGACCACCGAAGTGCCGGAGGAGCGACCAAGATACGCCCTTCGCTGATTTCCGAGTCTGTTGACGAGGTAAGCAAAACAAGAGAACCCGCCAGAATCGTCAACAGTCCATTGTTGGTCGACGTAAAGGAAAGGAATGCATATTTGATGAATTTTTCTTCAAGAATTTCATAAATAAATCTAACTCAAGTTATACTATGGGAATGTGTTTTTTATGTTTCCTATATGGCGAAAATAAAAAGGGTCGGTGATGTCATAATAGGCGTTGGTCTACCGGCCAAACTTTCCCTTTAAAAATGCCAGCAGAAGCTGATATAAAAAAATCCAGGAGACGAGCATTCCAAGGCTTTCGGGGAATTTCTTGGGTCATTTAAAATCCCTGGATAAATACAACGGCCTGAGGCCCCTCTCCTAGCTAGACTGTTGTTCAATCCAAACGCAATTGTGCACAGGTATTCTTGCCTCAGCCAGATAGCATTCGCCTCAGTTTTTTCCAGTAGACTTGGCCCAGAGATACGTAAATTTTTTTATGAGAGGTTTGACAGATATGAATAATTTTTTTGGCGCGCTTTCGAATTTGAGCTGCCGGTTTTTTTTGCTCGCCATTCACGTGGGAATTGATTATTGTATACCAGACACTCTACTTCTTTACTTTGTTTTCCTGCATTTCTGGACATGAGGTCATCTCTGCTGAACACTCGTACCTTTTTGAATGCACAAAGGACAAATTTTTTATCGATGGAAACTCACAACGAACATTCTTGTAATTTACGTCCAATATG